TCTTCCTATGGGTCTTCAAAGCATTCCACATGCAGACTGCCTGAAGTAAAGGCAAGAACACTAATATAAATACCTTATCCTATTTAAATATCAGAATGGATAGTTTTAACTGAAGTAAACAAAAATTTTCTTGTTCAGGAAGTTTTATGGGCTATGACTGGTAGAATTAATCTGAAGGTTGAAAATTCAGCAATTTCTCTTATTCTATTTTCCAGTTTACTAATTCTTTCTTCTGTCTCCTCCATTCTGCTGTTAAGCTCATTCTTGATCTTTTTAAAAATTTGGTTATTGTACATTTCAGTTATAAAAGTTACATTTGGTTCTTTTTTATATCTTCTGTTTCTTCGCTGAGACTTTGTTCTTTCATTTGTTTCAAGTGTGTTCATTATTGTTTAAGCATTTTTATTATAACTGCTTGAAAAATCCTTGTCAGGTGATTCTAACATCTGTGTCATCTAGATGCTGGCAATTGTCTTTTCTCATTCAAGTTGAATTTTCTACTTTTTTATATGACAGTTAAAACCTGGACATTTGGGGTATTGTAAGACTCTGAATCTTATCTAAATTTTGTGTTTCAACAGGCCTCCTCTGACACTGCTCTAGTTGGGGGAGAAGGGCACTGTCAGGTGGGGAATGAAAGTCCAGGTTACCCACTTGGTCTCTTTTGACATAGTGGTGGGAGGAGGGTTTGTTACAGCTCCCAGCAGACCTCTACTGATACCACCCTGGCTTTTAGGGGCAGGGATGCCTTGTTACTGCTCCCTAAGTGGCTTCCACTGACACTATAAGGGGGAGGGTAGCCTTGTTATATCTGGGCAGTGGTCACAGTCTCCACTGGGCCTCCTCTGACACCACTTTGCATAGGGAGAGGAAAGTGCACCTCATTCCAGTCCTGTGGGAATAAAAGTTTTCGGTCTCTGCTCTGCCTCCTCTGATACTACCCTAGTGAGTATGGAAGCTGAGGCTCTCCAACCACCCTTTTCTGGCAGTGGTGAGTTTGGAGCAGAAGATTTTCCTGTTGTGTTCGGCTGGAGTAAACAGTTATTGTCTAAAAGTTTTCTGTCCTACTAGGCAGCCCTTTTCCTGGTCCTTTGGCTAGAGAGAGGAGGATTTTCTTGAGACTTCTTTTATCTTTGCCTGTTATCATTTCTGGATTCTGGTTTCTCTAGCACCCAGTTTGAAATATGAGTCAAAAAAACCCAAGGACTTCACTGTTGTGTTGTACGTTGGGTCCTGAGGTTCCTAGTTAGTCTGCCTTCTTGTCTCCACCTTCTAGAGTCTTCTAATGTGTGTTTATAAACACATCCACTGAAACTGGTGTTATTTCCTATTGGGTTACCTGAGAATACCTTATGAGAAGGTAATACTGATCAGAGACTCAAAGGAAGTGAGAGAATGAACTATGTCGATATCTGGAATGAAAACTTTTTAGGTAGAAGGAACAGCATACAAAAAGGCCATGATGCAGGTAGAAGATTAGCATATTTGCAATACAGCAAGGAAGCCAATGTAGCTGAGGTCGAATGAGAAAGGAATTGAAAAGTAGAAAGATGAGGTCAGAGATATATCTGTAGGTTAGGGCATCTCATAATTCATAGGCAGTTATAAGGACTCTTTCATTATGAGTGAAATGGAAAAGCACTGGATGATTTTGAGCAAATAATACTTGTAACCTAAAATATGTTTATAAGGGATCACTCTAGCTTTTGGGAGAACGAGAGACCATAGAGGGGACAAGGGAGGAATCAGGAGTGCAGTTGGAGATATTGCAGTAATAGAAGTGAGACATGGTGATTGGTTAGAACACGTTGGTTAAAGGATGAGGAGCTGGCAAGTTATATTAGATAAGTCTGCTGTCAGAGTCCATTGGATTTATTGATAGATAGAAGTTGAAAGTGGAACAAATAAAAGAGTCAGGGATGATGCCAAGAATTTTAGCCTGAGCAACTAGACAACTACTGAAATGGTGAAGACTGTAAGAGAAGGTTGTGGTGGTAGGGTTTTATGGAATCAGGATTTAAGTTTGAGATGTAATATTTGTCAACGTTTGCATTTTTTATAACAAAATGTCAAATTTTTAGTGATTATTTTAAAATATAACAAGGAGATGACTGTGCCCTAAATGGTGTCTACACTATAGGAGAATTACAAGAAAGAAATAGTAAACACTAAAAGCATTTGAAAGCAAAGGAAGAAAAAGTACAGTGATAATTAAGGTAATCTTCATAGCCTGACTCAAGAATATAAGTAGACATTGAAGGAACAGCAGAACTATGCTAGATGAATGGATGCTGGACTCAGACATGGGCAAGAATCTAGACATGACAAGTGGTCTCCATTTGTACCTATAGAAAGAGGGTTAAATCCACAGCAAAGTCAACAGCAAGCTGAGCAAGAGAAATCCACATTTTACATAAAAAATCCCACTTAAGCCTCAAAAATCCTTATTAAAACAATATGCTATTATTCCTTTACAAAAGGGAAAACCAAGGTTAAGAGAATTTGTCCACAGTTACTACTAAGTAACGAACCAGGATTTCAACATAAGCCTGTCAGACTCCAGTGTCTGAACTCATGAATAATGGATTATTGCCCCCTGAGGTGAATAAAATAAAAACACCGGTATTTAATTTATGAAAAACTGTTGCAGAGAAGGAAAAGGGAAATTTTTCTGAAGACTTAGAGGAAGCAAGCCCTCCCTAATCCTCCCAGTGTTTCCCAGCAACTAGTTGGGCTTTATTATTCATATGCTAAAACAAGTACTTGATTTAACACCCTAGGATTCACAAAAGGTGGAATGATCTCAGTTTTATTATAAAACCATCTACACAGGCACAAAATTGGTCTATCTTTAGTAAACTTCATTGCTCACTTCTAGTCTGAATACAGCTGTTTATGAATGCATATCCTTCCAACATAGGCTAGTCATCCCTCTTGGACACTTGTTTCAATACTTCTCTGTGGGCTACTTCACCTTAGCAGAAAACATTTCTGTAGCAAAAGGATCATCTATTGTTTCCTCACCTATTAACTTCACATCAGGCAGAAAAAATGGTTTAAAGTGGAGGGTAGGTGTGGCTAAAATGGGAAACTCGAGGAATCCTTGTGATGGAACTGTTCCATATCCTGACTATATCATTGTCTATATCCTGGTTGTGATACCGTATTACAGTTTTACAAGGTGTTAGTTACCATTGTGGGAAATTAAATAGAGGGTATGGGGATC